GTTGTGTCAACCCAAGGCACAAATCTACTCCTTATCCATTCTGTGGGATAAACAAATGACACCAACACTTTGCAACTGGATACTCTCATTTTCTGTGTGTTCACAAGCAGTGCCAGAGGAAATCTTCTGGTACACACTATCCATTATCTCAAAATCCCTGAGTGTGGATACTGAGGATGAAGACAAACCAAGATTCATTTCAGAGGCCCTCCACCCTCTTTTCATTTTAAAAGGGCAAGGGGCACCTTGGTGCTTTGCTTCTTACCTGCTATAATTGTTGTGGCCTGTCGCCTCACATTGTTCTTATCTGTATATTCACCATAATCTATCTTCCCTTCAACAAAGATTCGAGAGCTGAAAAAAATGAAGAATTTGATTTTGGTCAGAGAACTGTGCTGCTATTTTCCACTCTATAATTCTAGAATGGTTTGGATTAAAATGGGATCCTAAAGACCACATGTTCCAAACATCTGGCCATAGCAGGAATATATCCACTAGATCAGGCTGCTGAAAGTCCCATCCAGCCTGACACTTCCAGGATACAGCTTCTCTGGGCAAGTGCGCCAGGGCCTCACTACCTTGACAGTAAGGTTTACATCCATATATCCAACCTAAATTTTCCCTCATTCACTTGGAGCCCATGACTCTTTGTCTTATCAGTACACTTCCTGATGAAAAGGCTGAATTCAGAATCTGATTCAAACTACACAGGCTTTTTTATCAGTTGTTTGTAGCTGCTCTGCTAACTTGTTTTATGGCACCTGTATCTTACTTACAGTTCCTGGTCACTATAATTATTACAGTAATCCATTATTAAGGCATTAAATCCTCACACACATTTGTTATTCACTTACCCTTTCCTCACATACTGATAGGTGACATCCCTGAGGCCAGGTCTGAAGACAGAGATCCTGTGCCATGTCGTCTTCTGACTGATATCACCTAAGGTACACAGAAGTAAAAGAGCTGGATGCCAAATCCTCTTTGTGATACAAGACTCAGAAATTAGCTTCAACACATTGATATTCTCAAATTATGTGAAGTGATTTGAAAACAGAAGTATACTAGTACTCCATCTCCTACTTCACTCCAGAACTAAATGTTCCACTCATCTGTGTCCAAACACATTCTTGTGCAGAAGCACAGTTCAAACCAAGACATTGTTTTTTCTGTAAGACAGTGCTCACACTAGTAATTTTTTCCCCCCTCAGACACTTCACACTGAATAGAATCTAGAGAATGAGACATCTGCAGATGCAAACTGATGACAGAATCAATGAGAAAATAATTTTTTCTTTATTTTTCTCATCCTGAAACAAGTAAGAGTACAGAATCTGCTATGCCTCTGACATACCCCCACCAGTGACAAACTGCCCACTCCACACACTCTCCTCTCCTGAGGAAAGTCAACAGCAGATCTCTCCTCAGTACATGCTGCTGGGGATCAGTAAGACACACACAAATGCACCAGCACCTCTGCTGAGCTCAAAGGAACCTTCCTGCACCCCAGAGATTTGTAAGTGTGCTGCTGCTGGCCATGCAGCTGTGACCTGGGACACGTTGCTCATGCAGACTCACCTCCCTGGTTTACTTCACTATCTCCTGTCCGCCACATCTCATTGGTTGCAAGGGAAAATATGGTAACAGGATTTTTTCCTTCCACTTGCCTCATGATAGGGTCCTGTCCAACCCGACCAAGCAGCTGAACACGATTCATGGCTGAAACAAGAGAGACCAAACACAAAGGTGAATTATGATGCTTCTAAGCATGGCAAGCCATCAGTCAGCAGCTTTTCTCAAGGGCCAGGATCACAACTTTCTGCACCTCCTGAGCACTTTTAAAGCTCTTATGACATTTGGCTTTTTCAGGCCCCAGGAGATGGTTGACCACATCTATACTGTCATTATCACTGTGAACTAACTGATTTAAAAAGCCAAAGGTTCCTTATTCTTTCTGTTCCATCTCTTTCACAGATGCATCCATGTACCACTTAAGACTAAACTGCATTTATGTGACTTTTATTTGTTTCATAATGATAAAACACAATGCACAGCAGTACCTTTGAAGCAAAGCTGCATTACTATACTCCATCCTCTGAATGAGGGAGTCAGTTTTTACACCATTACCAGGCCTAGGCAGACACAGTCTATCCCTTCTCCATGTTCAAGGACAACTGGAAGAAGTCAGGTAAGTATCCCTCATGCACAAGGAGCACTTGAAGTGAATAGAGAAGGCTGAAGAACACCTGGAGCAAATCCTGCTGGGGCAGCACCACACAGACAAGTGCCCCAAGGACCCAGGAGTCTGAGAAACAAGCACACAAGACAGCTGAAGGCAGGTGTTAGAAACCAGGCCAACAGCAGACCCAAACCACTGCCACAGATAAAGCACAACGACCTGCCCTATAGAGGGGGTAGTCTTTGTCAGGGCTTTCTTCTTTTCCCCTAAACTGCTGCTTCACCTGACAGAGACCAGACAGGAAGCCACTCAAGACTGTGTGCTTGAAACAACACATTCTTAGGTGCTACACTGAGGAGCTACCACTCCTACCTGCTTCTCTCCTGCCTTATTTCAGATGTCCTAAAACTGAGATAAACACAATGAGTAACAACTAAATTGCATCTCAGGAGGTACTTACATCTTTCAAGTACCAATGAGTTAACCGTATCAGAGTCATGTCTTACAAACTGGCGTAGCACCTGAAGGAACAGAGAAATATGAGTTTCCAAGACACAAACTATGAACAGCATTCACAAGTCTTCACACCTCATTTTCTGTGCACTTGCAGAGGCTCTGCGAGTATGTTCTTTGCCAGGTAACTAATGGGGGACCTGAGGAAAGACATCTGTTCAGCCAAATGAAGCTAGTAAGAGTACTTAAAAAACATCTGGTTAAATCAAGGTTAAAGAGTTGCCTAGAAAGAAGCGTGGCCCAAAGGTATACCTCCAGCAGTTATTTTTGGGACATGCAGTTAACTACTGTTTTTCTGTAATATGTAAATAAGAAGGGAGGAGGTTTGTAGGAGAGTGGGGCTTTAGTTGTTTCAGCTTTAGTCTTTGGAAACAAACAGGTCTGATGGTTCTGCTTCGTTTCAGAGTTTAACCAGGTGTGCCCAAAAAGTACATCCACCCACTGGAATGAGCAGTGGATGCACTGACACACTTGTCCCAAAGTAAATCTAGGACACAAAATTCTTAGAACTGCAAGTAGGAAAGCTGCACAGGAACTGCCATTATTCCAGCAAATATTCCAGCTTAGAAGAAAGGAAGGGGGCGGGGGGGAAGCCCAGAAAGACTTCCGCTAGATGTCCACGTGCGGGAATTGAGAAAAAAGGCTCATTTCCCAGAACAGGTGGTTCCAGAGCTCAACTCTGTCTCCCTAAGAGCAGACCCAGCGCCGAGGCCCCGGCCAGCGGGCACGGCCGGCCGAGGGCTCCGGGGCGCTCGGCTCTGTCCGCCCCTCCCCTCCCCGGGGCAGCGCCGAGCGCGGTTCCGCGTCCGCAGAGTCGCTGCAGCCTCGCTGCGGGGCGGAGGGGCCGCAGCTGCTCCCCCCGAGGGCGGCCGGGCCCGCGCTCCGCGACCCCGCACGGCCCTACCTGCCACGCCGGTCGCCGCCACATGCTGCCGCCAAGCCTGCGGAGGGGAAAGCAGGGCTGAAGCAGCGCCCCAGCGAGCCCCGGCCCGGCCCGGCCTCCGACCCCGCGCCCTCCGCACCTCTCCCGCTGCCGCGCTGCGCCCGCGGCCGGCCGGAAGAGGAAAGGGCCGGGCGGGAGGTTCCGGGAGGAAACGCGCCCGAGCCCCCGGGACGGCGGCGGCGGCACGGGCAGCGCCGCCACCGCGCACCCCGAGCCCCCGGGAGACACAGAGCTCGCGGAGGAAAAAAATAACGAACAAAATTCCATCACTCCATTATCGGTTAAAAAACGATAAAACCTTTATTCGCACGAAACGATAGGATCTAACAGTTAAAAGCCAGCATGTGCAACGTCATAAAACAAACCAGTAAAACCTGGAAATAAGCGAGTTACCAAGCGCTGCCTCATAACATTGCAGCGCTCTGTCCAACCAACACAAACGACAAGGACCCCCAAAGTTACATTTAGCGGGGAGAGGGGGAAGGGTGTGTAAGACCTCAAATACATGCAACCATTAACATGGGCAACTCCAAAAAGCTGACAAAGCCTTTTCTAATTGCTCTCATCTTTGCTGAAAGGCTGCAGTTCACAGGCAGGCAGCTGCACCACGTGCGAGATACTGGAGGGGAGTTGGGTACAGACAGACCCAGCTACCAACACACTGCCCCACGCGTCTCCCCCATGGGAACAAGGAGTCCTCCCCGATTGACAGAAAACGAGTCGGGCATCAGGGACTAACTAGTCTGTTAGAGCACACCCAGTTACAAAAGTTTTGTTGCTGAAATTTGAAAAAATGTTTTTATTCAACTCCCACTCCTTAAAGCATTTTCTATTACTCTGTGTCCCCCCCTTAGTGAAACACCACTCCAGCTGCACCCTAAGCCCCCCAGGACAGCTGTGTGTAACCAGCCTGACTCCTGATATGTAGCTAAAACTGGCTGCCATAGTCTCTGCCTACTTGCTCGTAGAAGGGGCCAGCTGTAGATGCTGTCTCCCTGTGCAGCCATCAACACCCCTCTAAAGATATAGTCAGGCCAAGTGTTAAGACTGCCAAATCAATAACAGGGCCCAACTCAAGAAAGAGGGAAGTGAGTAGAGAAAATGTCATTCTTTTGTCATGGCAGAGTTACACTGAGTCTACAGCAAGGCAAATTACACAAGAAATTAAACAGGTAAAAGACTGAGGACAACCTTAAATCCCATTATCCAACACTTGCAGGCCAGTCATTCTTTTCTCAGCCAACATCTCATCATAACTAACAGGGGAACAAAGAAAAAAAAACGGGGAGAGAACATGGGGCATTGGTGTGTGCAGACCCTCTGCTTTCACAGGGCCATTCAGCAGTCTTTGGACAACACAGAAATTCAGAAACCCAGAGTAAAGCTAAACGAGCGACAGCTCTTCCCTCCCACCAGACGCTTGCTCTTCTGCTTAGAAGAGGTTTCAGACTCTTGTAACTTGGCACTTCCTAAGGCTTGGTCCTTCATGAGGGTCTGGGCAAGGCGAGCTGCTTTAAGTTCCCTGCAGGGGGGAGACGAAGGGAGAGGAAAGGAAGAAAACCATGTAATGCATGAATCCACAGTAGCTACAGAAGCAAACTATGAACAATCTTGCACACGAGGGTTACTGTAATACTCCAGCACTGCTGGAAGGGGGCAACTTCTCAGCCCAGACGATAACATGAAGATTACTGTGCTGTCTCTGTAGTTTGTTTGAAAAGGTAGGAGGTCTGAAGATTTACCAGAAGAAAACTATGTATCAGGTCAGTAAGACATTGGCACCAGTATGTGGAACACCTGGCTGAGTTTTTCTCCCATTGTTTCAGATAGTTGTGAGTGCTGAAATTTAGATCAGTGTAATCTCATACATATATAATACCTAAATAAAGGCAGATGCTTCTTTTCCATTGCCTTTCTTCCCTTTCTGGTACTTGCTGCTCTTCCAGAGCATTCACACTTCTGTCTACACAGAAAACCTCTTCCCCAGCTGATGTCTACACTTAAGAGGGGTTGTGGGGACGTTCTTAGACCCCAGCACCCCAAAACACTACTGCCAACAGCAGTGAGAGGGAACAAGGGAAATCTGCCACCACCTGATGTTTCTTTTCCTTCTATGCTTAGCCCACTATCTCAGTGCATTATCAATTCCTCATCTTCCCACTGGCTGCAGGTTGTATCAGCATTTTGCATCACCAGTGGTTGCAGGAAACACACAAGTTTGCTGTTATAACTCAGCCATCTCCTCCAAGCCAGAGCTGAAGCACAGCTGCTGCCTGGGCACTGCAAGTCCCTGTTTTACATCCCCATTATCCCCAGGCACAGGAACTGGCTGGGGATTTCTGCACGTGCATTCTCCCAGCAATACCACCCTCCATTCAAAGCTGGTGACCATCATGGTTGTGCCCATGCCTTCTCCCCTTCATGCCCAAGCCAGCTCTACCTTTCCAGCATGGCAGTCTTGCATTTCTCCATATTTAGCTGCTCCTGGAGCTGCACAGCTTTTCCACATGAAGGACGGAGAACAGGGTGTTTGGTGAGAGCCGTGGCAGAAGGTCTTTGTGCTGGGTCAGGATGGATCATGAGCTAGAAGGCAAAGGAGTTCAGAGTCTAACATTCCTGTCACATGCCTGCTGCAAAAGCCACCATCCTGTCAAGACTACTTCCTCACCTTAAGGAGCTCAAGAAAACGGTGGGGAAGCTTCTGGGGGATGGGTGGGACATTGCCTTTCCGGATGTGGTGCCACAGGGCCCCGTTGTGAGGTAGTGGTGCTGTCCCAGCTGCCAGGGCCACTGTGAGTGCCAGGGCAAAGATGTCTGCCTTGGGCAAGTAGCAGTATTGCTGCAGAGAGAAGGGAAAGGTGTTAGAAAGGAACATCTTGCTACACTAAGCAAAGGTGAGTTGGGGTATGAGCTCAAAAAGAAACAGCCAAGCAAGTGTGTGTATACAGCACTGCCTTCACCACTCCAGTGAGCTGTTTCCTGCTATTCAGGATGAAAACATTGGCAGCAGGCTGGAGGACTAAGCAACAACACATTGGCTCTCGGCCATAAAGACCTTGCAGGCCACGTTGGGATCACTGCAGTAACTCCAGAGGATGGCCTAACACATGTGTACCTCCAGCCTTCATCACAAGGCAGTGAGCTACCCATGCCCAACTCACACTGAAGGCTGCATCTGATACATTGGCCTAACAGTTCCTAAATCCACTTGCAGCACAGATGCTGTCCCTTAAATACCTGAACTGAATAACACGTCCAAGCTGGTTATTCAATTCTGATTCCCTTTACATATGTTGGCTGGAGTGACAAAACTGCAGTCAGTTTAAGAGGTGTGTTGGACCTCCCACCTCTCCTACTATTTGTTCAGTGTTTGTTTTACAAGGCATCTGTCTGGGTAAATATGTTCCTCAATAATCACATCCAGTAGTTTCATCTCAGCTGGATATGCAAATCAAATGTCTTCAAACTGATAAAGGTTTTGTCTCACTAATCCCTCAAGGGGAATAGCTGCAGTAATCCAATGATAGCTACTTATGAAGTATTTACATATTAAGTATTTGCATAAGACCCACACCACTATTGTTCATGATAAAGTGATAATTTTACAGATTTCACAGCCAGACCAGACAGTTGAAAGAGAAGATAAGGTGAGGAACAAGTTAGACTAATGACTGTTCTGCAGTTGATCTCTCCCCACTTGTTCTCCCACCTTGTTCTCCCCACTGCCCAGCTCTAGCAGTTTTACCTCTTGCAGAATCTCATTGGCCAAAAACCGTCTGTCTCCTTCCTCCACCTGAGGGTTTGTTATTGATGTCACATGTCCAAGGTCACCTGAGACAAAGAACAAGCAGTTGAAATGTCATGAAGCAAACTGAAGTCATTCTCCAATAAAAGCTTCCCCTTTATAGGCACTAACAGAGAAATACTGAGTAAGAGAGCAAGCCTGCTCCTGACTCAGGAATCTGCACTTGGAAACAAGCACATGAATTTTCTGTGACTTGTCTTCTCAGAGGAATAATTCTGGTGAGTAATTGGGGCATTCATGACTATTCTATCAGTTCTGTGTGCAAGTCTCTTCAGCCACAGGACACAGCAGTCTCAGGCAGTAATGGGCAGCCCTAATCTTAGGCCAGCTGTAAAGTAGGCAAAAACCTACCAATCTTATACACCACACCAGGAGAGAATTCATCTTCACTGTCACTCTCCTCCTGCCCAGCAGGGCCTGAAACTGCCAGCTTGTGACAGATGAAGATATTACCTGCAAGACACAGAAGTTCAGCAATAAGGTGATACCAGTAGTCAGGCTGCAGCGCCTGACAACTTCGTAAAAATCCCACCTGTCAAAGTAGTTAAGCTTTGCAGCTAGAGAAATTATGCACATGCTTCCCACCCTGTAGTCAGCTTTCTGCCCAGCTCACATTCAGACACACAGCTGGCATAAGACAGCTGTATCTTGTGCATAAAATATCCCAGTGAAATCAGCTTTCCCCTCCCTCTGCCCTCTACAGAAGAATAATTTCAGGAGGAAAAAGGAGTTCCCCTCTAATATTAACTATGTGACAGAGGGGAAGCATTGCCCTGGAGGTGACCATCCTGAGCTGCAGAGAGGAAACCTTGTTACTATTTTTGCAGGAACTTAATCCCCTCAAGGTAGCTCAACACACAAAAGGCAAGTGTTGTGCAACAGGACAGCGTAATTAAGGAAGTCCCCATCTTCCCTGGCAGCTCTACTTGTGCCGTCAGTATGAAGGTGATTCCCATGAGCTAGGATTGCAAAGGTCATGAGACAGGAGTAAAATGCTGACAACTATCAGAGTAGGCTCAATTTTAGAGCAGCAGTAGGGGCACAATTCAAAATAAAAATAAAACCAAAACACCAGTCACAAGACAAGGGCAAGGTCCTATTTTCTTTGGAGCACTACAGTCAGTCCACTCAGAAGGATTTATTACAGGTCCTGCCCTTGAGGGATCACTAGGAAAACCCTCCACAAAGGAGGAGGGCTCTATACTTACTAGGTTTGATATCCAGGTGCACAAGGCCAGAGTTGTGGATGTATTTTAGTCCCATGGAGACTTGCAGCAATATTTCCTTCAGCTCTCCTTCTGGGAAATACTGCCCAAGCTTTGCATTTTCCAGCAGCACATCTTGGAGACTCCCACCTAGCGGAAAACAGGCAGTTTGAGACCTGACAGAGGTTTTATGGAACAGCATGTTTGAAACAGCTTAGCTGCCCAGGACACTTGGAGGCTTGCTAGAGACAAACCCCAACCACAGCAGCTCTGTGTGCTCTAGTGAGCAAACTTGGACATCACCACTTGGCTTCAACCTTCCCACTGCCCTGGAATGCCCACCTGCTGCTCAACAAGGATGACCAACTGTAGTTCTACCTCTGGCCTACAGCTCTACATCCTGCCAGAAGGGTTGACCTGTTAATGATGCTGGTGCTGCTGCAAGTGAACAGCAGAAAAATTAATTGCTTCTGCTGTGCTTAGATGCAGAAAGCAGGTATAGGAATGGTGGAACAAGGAAATTAAGTCCCACTAGCAGATTTTTGATTGAAAATCATTAAACAGTGAACACAGTTTTGTGGGTCTCCATTGAGACACTATGTAAATTTCAGAGCTAGAAGATATCATAGCCTCTGTCTCCATCAGCTTACTTCTCATCACGTCTTTTGGCCTCAGATGTTCAGCCACCAGAACACAAGCAATACACCCATGCTGCAGCAGTGAGCACATTTCGTGGTTGCCTCCACCAGATTTTAGAGCAGTACTCCAAACAGTTGTCACCACTCTTCACTAAGCTTCAAGACTACAGGTGCAGTCAAAAGATGAACATTACATATTTGCTTTCAGCAACTCTGGTAGTTAAAGGAATCTTCTTCAATTTCTCTCAAGCAGTGGTATTGCCAAGGGCAAACTCCAGTAGGAGTTTGCCACCCTGCCTGCAGCACCCCATTTATACTTTGCCTCATCATTTACTCCATTCCTCTGCAGCTGTAAACCCCTTTCTTCTAGTCAGGAAGCAAGGTGCCTTCATCCAACCAGTCACTACCCACTCCCATTAAGAAGAGGTTTTGCCAAGATACATGGCCCTTAAGTCAGCAGCTCTTGAGTCACTCATATCAGGTGTTACCTGGACAGTCCCAGCACAACCCTAAGCATCAGAATGGGGAATTCTTCTCCAGGCCAGCCAAAAAAGAGAAACAATTTTCAAATCCCAGAAATACAAAGTTCCACTGCTTCTAAAACATTAGCACCACTCAGAGCTTCATCTAAATATTATGTGCCCTTACTGGATTCTCCACAGAAATGCAGCCCCAGGGCAGTTTGCTTTCTTGTAAGCCAAAACACCCACATTTAAGTACAAAAGAAGGCAACTTTGCCCATGCAGAGATCTCAGCCTTGAATGCTGTCCAGCCCTTACCATTGCAGTGCTCGTTCTGGATAATCATGTGATCATCCTCTGCCCAGGCCGAGTAGTAGCGCACGACATGGGGGTGGTGTCCCAGGACAGCGTGGGCATAAACCTCGCGCAGTGCCAGCTGCCTAGGGAGGCACACATGGAAAAAGCTGAGGTGACAGGCTGCCAGAGGCTACTTGGCACCAGGAGAGGAGCACTGCTTTGCAGCCTGAAAGTCCTGAACCCCTCTGTTCCCCCTTTCTCTCAGGTTTTGACAGACAGACTGGCTCTCACAGCTGCTGAGGCAAAACCTGCCCTTGGTCAAATGCCCTGAGCAGCTGTTAAAGAAAATAATTGCTGAGCAAGTCTTTTTTTAAAGAGACAAAGGCAGCAGCAGCTTCAAAGACTTTGCTTTAGCTATAGGACATCACAAGCTGGTCAATACAGATAAGAGTAGTCCTGGCCATGCAGCAAGGCAGGGACTGTAGTATGTCTGTCAAATAAACTTCTTGGCAGTTATTGTAAAGAAATTGAATTGTATTGTAAAGAAATGGATGGACCCAAGGTGATCAGGTATTCCATCCTCTCACTTTGCTGTGCATGTGACTTCTTCCTTCCCTAGACATTTATATCCAATAGCTTTATAGTGGTATCTTCCCCCACTCTCCCAGCTGTTACTTGGAAGTGCAGCAGTAGCCAATTTTTGCTCATGCCACACATCAGATACTTTTAGATCCACACTCCCTCCTTCCCATCACACCTCTCAAGAACATGCCCATCATTTCAACTGGCAGTTTCCAGCCAGCACACTCACTCATCTGAGGATCCTGCCAGAGGCCTTTTGGAGCGTTTGATGGCATAAACACATCCATCAAGACGTTTGATGCACTTGTAGACAGAGCCAAATTCCCCTACGCCAATTTTTTCTAGTTCCAGGAACTCCTTCTTGTAGCGGGAAACCATATTGCTCGCCTTCAGAGTATATCTCTGCAGAGTGACAAAAACAGCAGAGACAAATAGGAGTTGAAAGACTCAATAGCTGCCATTGTTTTAGAGGTGTGTAACACTTGCTGTCACTGAGCACCCACATTGCTCCCTCTCCCATTCTGGGTGTTCATCCAGGCATATGTGCAGGTGCATGGCCAGTTCTTGAAACCGGCGTTTCAGTTCTTGAAATTACCTTTCACTTGTGTTTTTTCTGACCACTTTAACACCACCTTCCCTGGGTTGGCCAAGTTTCAAGGCTGTTTGGTTGGTTTTATATGATCAGGACTTGTTAGCCAGAGAGGTAGAAATTGTAGGTAAGGAGACATTTAGTCTAGTTGGCTGTATATGCCTAAGCCTCCTTGGGTTACTGCCATCAAATCTCTTCTCCTGACAAGGCAGACCAGTTCCTAGACCCACAACTGATGCATTCAGTCAGGAATGAACAGCAGGCAACAGCAAGGTATTGGCCTAAAGACAGGACTTGAGAAAACCTTAGATCTATTGCCTGTTTTGAGCTCAGGAGAGGAGCTTGGTGTGTTGGCTTTGTGTGACTCCAGCTTTGCAGGAGCAGCTCTACCCTGGCAGCTGCGGTTGCCTGCAGCCAAAGCCATTCTGTGTCAGCTCAGGCTCTGCAGGTTTGAAGCACCAGCTGTTGGCTAATGGCAGATTAGCTGGTCTCAGTGTATTTGTTTGTATTCCCACTGGTATCTCACCCAGAGACACTTTTCCACAAAGAGTTGAAAGCTGGCAGAACAGTTGGAACATAATTATTGCTACAATAATGGCCACTAGGGATCTAGGAACTGCTGGTACTGCTGGGAGAGTGATGCCTACTGGCAAGAAAAATAAGTAAAGAAAAGATAAGCACTGGAGCATAAAGTGAACATCAAGAGTGGTCTAAGTGATTTTTCTCCATCCCTTACAGGGACAGCAGCTCATGTTGCTCAGTGGCTTCCACAGAAACTGCTGTGATTGCTGTAGTTTATGGTACAGAGGAGGAGGTAAGTGTTGGTCCTCACAGCCAGTAAAATCTGGCTCGCATGAAACAGAAGCCCTTCCCAACAGGTTGCATTTCATAAGGCAGCTGTATTTTACACTATCTTAAGAAGCTTGGCAGTAAGAATACCTCCTATTACTCAGTTTTATACCTATATTACATATTCAATCTCATTAGCAATCAAGCAGAATAATAGTCCAGTAATTCACGAGTTACTTGAGGCTTTCTTCTAGGTACAACAATTTCGGCAGCCTTGGATTCGGTTGCCTGGTAGCAGATTTGCTCTGCAGGTGTAGTTTTTCCAGGGAGACCATTTGCCTGCAATCCCAGTCTCCTCGGCTAGAGGGTACCGTTATCCTTCCATAAGCCTGGCTATTGCAGTTATAAAGAACAATTCCACCTTTTCCAAGTCTGTCATCTCAAACTAATTTTAGCAAAGCATTCAGCGTAGACCTTTTCTGTCATAGGTATCCATTCTCTGGCACGGTGCCATGGTTTATACTCCAATAACAGAACAAATCCCATCAAACACCAATCTTTTACAAACATGTTATCCACTCTATGGGAGGAAAACGTACAGACACTCACCTTTGTAGGTAGCTCCTTTTTAATCTGGCTTCCTGGATGAGGATCATTCCTGTAACAGAAGATTAGGAAAGTCTGGTGTATCATTTCAGTGCAGCAATCCAACTGGGTTTGAAATTAACATATCTTTCAAATGAACCTCCAAACCTTGCTTCACAGCCTAACCATGTATTTTATAGAGTTGATAAACAAGTTTTTAATTGAGGTCTTAAGACTGTAGTCTCAGGTTAGGAATTCTTTGTTTCCATTTAGGAGGCCTCCACAAAGTGATTTCAGTACTGCCCACAGGACAGAGTGGCATTGTCCAGAGGCATCATTCTCCTGACCTCCTCATTACTGGTGAAGCTGCAGCCAAAGCACTAAAGAGAGCTGTTGATCCCCCACTTACCTTTCTGAACAGAGGCAATGATTGATTTTTATTTATACTTCTGTTACCTTTATACATCTGCTAACATTTACTCTACACCAACAAATACTACAGAAGTAGATGATTCATTGTTAGCAAATAAGTCCAGATACTGAACATCTCCATTGCTTATATCCTTCCAACAGTCTGATTGCAGTCTGCTGCCTAAGAGTAGCTCACTTACAGCTCTCCTGCAGCCTTCCGTTTGCCATTAGGATGGAAGAGCATTTGTCGATAGGATTCTGGTGTGAAGGGATTAATGTTGACAAGAGAAGCTTGGGAAGAGTCAGAGTCAGCACGAGGAGTGAACCTCAAATGTCGAAAGCCTTTGGCTGGGACCTTTGTTGCAGATGAAGGAAAAGCTGTCTTTGATAACAGGCTCTGTATTGAGAGAAGAAAAAATAAGTGACAAATAAACCAGGACATTTTTTTTGTTGCTATTTCAGAATAAAATTCTTGTTCTCCTGTAATTCAAGGAGAACTCTGCTCCCTTCCTTGGCATAGCTGAATCATTAAATCCCTGTGTCCCTAGTTTAGTCCCCACAGTTTTCATTTTCCACAAAGCATTCCATTCTTTGTTAAACCCTTTCATATTCTATTCCCTGCTCACTTGGGCAAGGCCTGCAGAGCCATTTTGGCAATCACAGTCCTCAAGAGGAGCCAGCTGCTCCCCTTTCCTTCCTACTGAGAGGTAGAAATTGCATCATATGTTGCATTAACATAGAAGACCTAGTTCTGCCAGGCATGGACCATTGCATCAGTTCAGTCAGGACAGGTTTGTCAGGAGATGAGCTAGAACACCAGCCAGATTTCCCAGCACTAAGCAGCATTAGGACAGGGGAAGTTGCTAGAAATATTTTTTTATATGGCTACTAGCAAAGCAAAATGAATCCATTTCTCCTCATGAGTAAAAACCAGAGTTTCAGAAATTTAAGTTCAAGAAAGAACCTCTGGATCTTCTATAGCTCACCTTGCTACAGAATACAGGTCATTGTGTTTCACTCACTAGTCCAGAACCTTGGACCATGGAAAGCATATTCACCAGTCTTGAGCTGAAGACAAAAATCTGCTCACTCTGATTTGACTCCTTCAGTAACCATGAGCTTTTAAAAAATACATTTGGTTTTGACTTGTTTCAACTTCAATAGAGTGGTATAAGATCTAAAGGATTGTTTAACATCGTGCTTTCCTCTAGTTAAAAACCCTTTAAGAACACAAGTCTCCCTGTTGAAGATCAAGGTCTTATATCTTTTCAATCCCACAGTGATCTCACTATCATGATCCTGGAGCCACATCTCCACTCACATTTAGTGGCTCTGTCTGCAGGGCTCTGCTCTCTCTGTCCTTTCTATCATTTTCAAATGTTCTAAGGCCAACGCTCCCAGGTTTGTCTACAAGCAGATTTAGGCCCTTTGGAGCCCATCTTTTGAAGCATGCTTGGAAAACAAGACCTTTATCCCCGGAGAGAAAGGAAAATAAATGGTTGATTTCATGCAACTGCTGCTTATGGGCCACAACATGACAAACTACAAGCAGCATGTTTTGAATCATCCAGCCAACATGTTATCTACACAATGCACACCCTGAAAGCAGCCTTCACTACCTGCAGCCCATCTGGTCTGGAAAAGATTTTTATACATGTCTATTGTAGTTTAACCCCAGCCAGCAACTAAGCCCTCTGCTTTTGAATCCTTTGCTCACAACTACAATGCCTTCCTCAGTGGGATGGGGAACAGAAATAGGGAAAAACAGGTAGAGGCTGTAGGTTGAGAAAAGAACAATTTAATGATTAAAATAAAATATAATCATTATTAGTGCTATGAAAAGAGAAATAAAACCCAAGACAGACAAGTGATTCACAATTGCTCACCACCTGCTGACTGATGTCCAGCCCATCCCTGAGTCCTAATCAGCCCCTCCTGGCTAATATCCTTCTGTTTATATGTTGAGCATGACAGTCTATGGTATGAACTTTCCTCTGATTTGTTCCTGGCAGCTGTCCTGGCTATGGAGCCACACTGCTGCTGGTGCTTCTGCTCACTGGCAGAACATGGGAAACTGAAAAGTCCTTGACTTTGGGTAAACACTTCTCAGCCACAAGCATGTTTTAGCAACACTGTTCTTAAGCCCAAAATCACAATGCAGTACCAGTTACTAGGACAAAATTATCTCCATCCAAGCAAGGACAACTTCTCACCTATGCTAAGTGTCACTGCAGGAAGTTTTTGGAGTGATGTCCTTTAGACTGCTTTCCCCTAGAGAGTGGCAAGCCATTCCTCAGTAAATATTGCCACACAGTCAATCATAAGGCCAGAGGATCATCCTTGTCTCCACATAATCAGGTTTTTGGAGAAGGACAGAAGTCAAGTACTAGCTCAGAAGCATTAAAGCACTGATTTTCTGTGTAGCACTTAAGCAAAGGAGCAAACAATCTATTAACCAAGCAGGAACATTGAGAGAAGAGCAACAGCTACACTTCACTGCAGGTCTAGACTGCTTGGAGCCATGCACACACCAGAAATTATCTAGGAACAGAGAAGCTGGTGCCAAGTCTCTACCTGTGCTTACTCAAGACAAAAAGCAGTTGTATTATACTCTCTTCAAGAGGTTACACATAAAACAGAGGCTGGGATTATTCTCTCAAGAAACTGTCTCAGTAGCTAAGTTGTATTTTAGGACAGTGAAGAGATGCTAACCTCCCTCCACAAGCTCACATTGGTTTTGCTACCCCTTCCGTAGGAAATTTGCTACCCTGAGAACAAAGCCCTGCTTTCTTCAGATTCGCTGAACAACTGTCTTACACAAAAAGAAACACTGTGGCACCAGACAACAAGCTGGTTGGAGCTGACCAGTCTTGCCAGGCAAAGTACACATGCCAGCCACAACGCCATTTCCAATTTTCAAGACAAAACCCATTAGCATCCACAAATGTGCTGAACAGAGCAGCAAGTGCAGCTGCCTACCTCCAAGCTCCCCCCAGACAATGAGCTTCTTGAAGGGAGATGCATTTATCTCCTACAGAGGCGCTACAGACCTGCCATTACCTTAGGAGTGTGCGGGGTGTCACAGAGCTGCAGCTTTTTCCATGTGATGTGCAGTGGTGTCTCAGGTTTACTCCAGCTCTTGCTCACAGATGGGGAAGACTTCAGGGTGGGACTCATCCAGGCTTTTGTTCTGCTCAGGAAAATCTCACTAAGCTTTCTCTGAGGGGTTGCTGGCAGAGGACTGCTCTCTTGCCATTTCTGGAACTCTGAGCTTCTGGGGGGGCTCAAGCTCAGGGAGTCCTCCTCATTTACACTTCTTTCTTCACTCTCTTCACCACAACTGGAAAAGTCCAGTCGCTGAACGAATTCATTGTTGTTGTCCCAGTCATCCATGTTAGCACATGAAACAGAACAGGTAGAGCTGATACTGGCCTGTTTTGTTAGAGAGACAGAAAAACAGCATTATTTACAGATAAACTATCTTCTTCCTTGCTTCACCAAGGGCATCAGTTCTGCTGACCACACTCTGCAATCCCACATACACAGAAACCTTGGTCATTCGGCACTGTACCTAGACAGTATTGGTTGATGAAGAGCACCCCAGAATTACCAGGTACAAAGCCATTCCACTACTGCTCATGTAAAAACAGATTTTTGCTTTTTGCCTTACTGACATAAGTCAGATGCAACTCAGAAGTCACTGCCTTTGCCAGTAAGAATCATCTCCTATTCCCATCACACAAGGAAACACATACTAAAGAATAACACACACAGACTCCACTCACTTTCTTCTACAATAAATTTCTCAACCAGAGGGGAGGAAAAAAAAAATTCCATGCTACATACAGCTGTAAAAGCAGAGGATGCCCCAAGAAGTCACCAGATACCCCACAGACAGCCTCTCTCCTGCCCTGGACCATTTATAACCACCCCACACCTGAGCCAGTGCTAATGGGAAACATCTGGAGCTTGGCAGCACCTGTCCACAGTTGCCTGGTGGATGAAGAATTCTCTCTGGATGTGGATTTGCAGTGCCAACAAGCAGTTCTGCAGGGAGCCTGACTCCCTCTCAGTCTGAGTCATCTCCCTGCTCCTGCATGCTCATCCCTTCTCCAGCTTCCTGAGGCCTGTAAGGGGGATGATGTTTGCTGACAGCCTGTCTGCTCCATAATCCCATCAGAGATCCAGCCTTTGTGGGCTTTACCTTTTACCTGTATACCCCCTTTTACCTGTGATGATGGGGCCTTGTGTTTCCTCCTTTAAGTCTGAATTTCACTTCATGCATTTAAATATGCGTTAGTTTGGGCAAGCATTGCAGCCTGCATGAATAGGTCATTAGCCTAAGTCATAATGCACAGAATTATGAATGTATAATTTCTAAGACTTCAGGAGAGAGTCAGGAGCAGGTCAATGTCTCCCTTCACTGCACCTCTTTGTAAAAAACAGGAATCTTCTGAGCCTTTGGCAACCTGTGTTTCAAAGTGGGACTAGAGCACGTTTTAACTAACTGGGGACAAGGTTACAGCAGCCTTTTTCCTTAGCCTTGAGGAGAGCTGCCAGAAGGACGTGCAGAGATTGGAAGTGGCTGCAGCCCATAGGAGATGGGTGCTCGGCACAAGCAGCATCTGCTTTCCTTTGCACACATCAAGGGTAATTCCCACCAGAACACACAGGGCCACATTGGTCTGAGGTCTCTGTGCTCTCCTAACCCATTCTTTAAATGAAAAGTATGGCCATATGGGTCTCTGAAACTGCTTGTTAAGACTGTGATGAAGAATTCATTTGATATAGAAATTATTTGCATCCTATTCACCAAAACAGTCTCAAGAGGACATGGCAGGAGCCCAGTTCTGGTTGCATCTGGCCCACAGGTTGCAGTATTTCTTGTAGGCACAGAGCTGTTGCTGCCATGCAGCCTCTCTTAGCCTCAAATGCAGCTGCTGCATCTCCCTGTGTCTCATCCTGAGTGAGGTCCAAAAGCCTGGCAGTGCCAGCACTGGCTGCTTTCTGCTGTGACAAGCTGGGTCTGCAGCATCTGGCCAGCTCAGATCCAGGGCCACTTTAGCACTGCTGTGATCTGACTGCATTCATCAAATGTTCAGTAGCTGAAGCATCAGATTGAAATATATTAATTCTGAAGAAATAAAGCTTTTATTCCCCATGATGACAAGTTTTTAACACCAGAAAGGAAATTCCTTCAGACCAGTTTTCAATTCCACCTTAAACAAAGGTTTTTAAACCTCCCCGCCCCCTCAGGATTTAGAGTAACTATCCATTTTTCCAAGGAGGGATGTGATATGTAAGGGAGAAAACTTGGATCTGCTGTGTAAAGAGGGCCAGCTTGTTCATCTTGCATTTTAAAAATAAAAGCTACCACACTTTCATTTACATTTCTCCTGACTGTTCAAAGACCTGATGACAATTTCCTGAGCCCTCAGCTGGAGGGAAAAGGTGTTCATTTTCTTTTGAAGTAGAGTTTTTGTTTCTATTATCTTCCAGCCTAAATAATTTCAATGTTGGCAAAATAATAAAACAGTAGAAAATATGGTCTTTGTTTTTTACATGTATCCAACAAAGAGTGTGCCGTCAGCAGGCCCAAATTGCTTGCCAAAGCCGTATCAATGGCTCTGGTACCACCAGGTCCCTTGTCCCACAGGTGTTTTCAGCAAAGCTGGGAGCTCAGAGCATGGTGATGTTTCACACATCTCAGAGGCAGCACTGGCAGCCCCTGATCGCTGTCACTGCTTGCTCTTCCCACTGCATCCCCTCCTCATGCTGGGGCAATACTGGTATGATTGCACTGCTGAAGAGACCAGGAACAGCTCTACACCACAAATAGCTCACGTGGGTCATGAAGGAATCCTTATTTGGGATTTGTTTCCTGCCTAGATTGCTGGGGGACAGACACTTGACATTTGCAGCAGCACTACTGTGGAGATGAAGATAGAAATGAGTTGTCACTTCAGCATCACCAACATGCAAAAATATATTCATCCAAATGAGGATTGGCACTGTCTATACAGTTAAAGCAAAGCATGTGGCCAAGTATTTGCAGAATCTGGCTTTTCTTTACACAGTAACAAAATATTGTGCAGGGTTTGTTTCTTTTTTTCTTTACCAGTCACCTTCTATGAAAAACTCCATCTGCTAAAAACCACCTACTCTGGTCTATAGCTCTGCAAAGTAAACTTGTGCATGGGCTTTGCAAAACAAAATGCCCACTCAGTGTTGGAGCTGTCTGAAATGAAGCTCACAGCAAATGGATGCTAATGTTACCAAAAAAAAGAGAAAAAACCCAAACCCCACTGCTGAGGAAACGGGATGATGGGTTTCTTAATGGGGTATTGAACACTCAGAACTGCTCAACAGGAAAAAAGTTAGACAATTAAGGCTTTTATGACAGCATCTTCCTTTTAATTGTGGGCTGCTTAATTGGGTAATTCAATTAATCAGAAAGACCTAGGGAACCAAGTTAATCCTAATGACACCTAATCACATTGGTGGTGGCATAAGGAAGATGGTAATTACAAAAAGTTGGCTGACTGTAGATGCCTTGGTCATGCATCTGTCCCCATCTTTCAGTCCACTTGTTCCGCCCAAAACTGTTTCACACCCTTCTGTAGCACCTATGTACATATACATACATACATACATATATATATGTATACGTATATGTACACATACATATATATACACACATATATATGTACACATACCAGTATATACTGGATCAATATCCCTGACTGCTTCAGATTTGTGGCTCGCAGCTTACACCACAGTCATTTGAGAGGGTGCGAGCCTGCCCCCGTTGCTCTGCCCAGTTCCCGTGGTTTTGCCAGCAGGACGGCTTTAACGGGGCTGGGGGAGGCAGCTGCCCGGCGTTGCTGTCACAGCCTTTTGGAGACAGAAGGCGGGCAGCTGGCTCTGCCCTGCGCGAGGAGGTGAAGCAAGGGCAGGCGGACTGTCCCCAGCCCGCCGTGCTCCTCCAGGAGCCGGCACCGGAGAGCTCCGATCCGGGATCTCCACCAGCTGCCCCGGGCGACTCCGGCCGCTCCCCAGCGCGGCGGCCCCAGCCCCGCCCCGCCGGTGACACCCCCGTGCTCCCGCCCCTCGCTTCCCGCCCCCCGCCGGTGCGCGCGGGGGGTGCGGCTCGGCTCGGCTCGGCTCGGCTCGGCTCGGCTCGGCTCATCTCATCTCATCTCAGCTCAGCTCAGCTCAGCTCTGCCTCGCTCGGCTCGGTTCATCTCTGCTCGGCCCGGCTCGGCTCATCTCTGCTCGGCCCGGCTCGACTTATCTCTGCTCGGCTCCGCTCCGCTCCGCTCGGCCCGGCCCGGCCATGGTGGAGCGCTCGGACGAGGCGCCGCTGCTGTTCTGGGCCGAGGGCCCCGCCGTGTCGGCGCCGCCGCCCGCGGCCGAGCCGGGCAGCGGCGGCGGGCGGCGGCTCGGCGGCGGCTGGAGCGCGGCTCCGTGGGACGGCGAGGGGCCGGCGGAGGCGGCGGGGCCGCAGCGGGCCGAGGCGGAGGAGGACCAGATCGTGGCCGTCTTCGTGGTCACCTTCGACCCCCGCACGGGTGAGCGGCGCCGGGAGCGGGCGCGCTGGGAAGCGGGGGCCGGGCCTGGGGCTCCCGGTGCCCCTGGAGTAAGATGGATGCGGCCGGGACTGGGCTTCGCTTGGGGAGCGATCCCCCCGCATCCCGCCTCCCAGGGACCGCTCCTCCCGCCGTCCTGGGGCAGCGTGGCGGACCCAGTGCGGAGCGGCCGCGGGAGCCGGGCTGCCCTCTGCCCCCACGGGGGACAGCGGCTTCACCGCACGGCTGCCGGTGTGGGGACCGGGGGCCGTGCGCATTTGCCGAAAACGGAGCACAAGGGGGATTGCTTTTGGTCTCCATCCCGCCGAAAAGAAGTTCTGGCGGGAGGAAGGCGCCGCGTCTGGTGCCGCTCGGAGGAGAGGGATGGGTGTATCTCCACGGCACCGGGAGTTTGTGGACGGCTCTGGGGCATCCCCTGCGCCCCACACAGATTTAGGCCGAGCCTCTGCCCAGCGCTGCCTGGAGGGCACCAACCTGTTAGCAGCATCTTGAGAGCATCTTTCTGCCTCCGTGGAGCGGCGCAGACCTGCCCGCAGCTATCGGTGATGGATGGCGTTTGTGGCAGGCGTAAATCCGGAAGGCTCGCAGGGCATGATCAGCAGCAGCAGCAGCAGCTCAGCTGCGTATTTCTTGGTGACCGGTGTATTTAGAGGCTGGCCTCTGGCGGGATCTCTGGGACTTAGTGCTTTGAAGGAGTGCTGCGATCCAGGAGGGCAGAGGAGGGGGGCAAGAGAATATATTTTCTACTTCTCATTGCCATATCATTCTCTCTCAATGTTGTTGGACTATGCTGTTGTATCAGTA